TTGCTATTAACCAGAATACAATTTATTCTACCATGATGCACAAATTTATTCTTATTTTTTATTATATTGGGAACATACTTCTTGATAGTTCTGGCAGATAATTGTATTACAAGAAAAAATGGGGAAACAATTGACAGGAGAATTCCATAATCATTCCCTACAAAGTCTCATTATGTATAAAAATAATTGAGTTCAGGTATCCATTCAATGGTACCTTTCCTTGGTTCTTTCTGAGATCTAGAAAAAGATATCAGCATGCCATGACTCTATATATATAGCAAAAGCACCAATGGAAGTGAGAACATTTCCAATGACGCACTCAACAACTATACACCAGAAAAACAACAAAAGATTAATTGCATATTTCCTACTATTCAAACTTGAGACCTCCAGCATGGAGGTTCAAGCTCTTAATTGCTGAGATGTCCAGGGAACATGTTACTGATCTACACTTGAAATATCTATTAACGGATGCATTCTGTAAATCTATGATAACACTAAAGGCACATTAAAACTAAACAAAAGATGCAAATAAAAAATGACAATGTACAGAATTTTGACTCTTTTTAATTACCCTATCTCTTCCCTCCCCCTAGGTCAACACAGTGAGTAGCATTATTAAAAACACAGAATGTTGGAACAAAACCATCAGAAGTCCTATTTATCCTACAGATGTAAATGCCAGTGGGACATATGTTATGAATGGAAATACCAATTCCTTATATTTACTAATAACAGCACACTCCTTCAGAGGATTGTACATGCCCTCAATGCTGTCATCCTTCATGCAGAGTAGAAAACAGCAATGCAACTGCCCCATCACAACAGAGAAAAAAGTAAATCATTGTCAAGACCAATTTTGTAACTTAAAGAGCAGAAAATTTTGAAATTATAGTCATACTTGGTACTGTTTTGGGACTGTATTCTTACTCCTACAAGTGGACTCATACTTGAGCCTACACTTGGTACTAATGTTGTCAAGGATTTGGAGTTCCTAAATTGAAAAGGGAAGGTGTAGCATGAGCATACCAAGGCTGGGACATCAAATGGTATGTTCAGAGAGCAGAGTCAATGTCAGCTTTGTGAATACCAACAGCAACCCTCATTAACATGTGCTGTTGGCCCAAAAATAAAAAAGTTAACATATGCTGTGGTCTTTCCAATGCACTGCCTTCAAGTTTTAGGAGGTAAGACTTCTCAAGGGTCTTCAAACCAAAATAGTCATGGTCAAAATCCCTGTCATATATGATCTCACGGCCCAGCTTGGCAGAGCATTCTGCAACCAAAGTAAGCCAATCACTTCTAAATCTCTCTCCAAATCAATCAACCTAAGAATCTTACAAAACATAATGTGGTTACTGTAGCACACTTTGTGGATGAAACATCACTTTCTTTATCCTTAAAATTCACACAAAGATCATTATTAATGTCTATTTATACAAGTCAAAATTGAAATAAGGAAAGAACTCATCATCAATTTACAGTGTTCAGTTTTGACATGGAATGGAACAACTACATTGCCTGTAATTCAATGCACAAACAGTCAATCTATGTATAATTAGAGAGACTAAGAAGAAGCTAAAACTATGTACTGCAAATAACCAATAAGTCACGAAAACTACAAATACTTCTAATAAAGGGAAATGAAAACCATAGAGGTATAGATACCTCTGTTGTTATTTCATAAACATCATCTCCAGTAAGAGGAGCCTTCTTCTAGACTTCTTGTTGCAGTAGTTATACATGATTCTAATCCTGCACCAACAATATGAGTAAGTTACTCTTTCCAATTTAAACTTTTCAAATCAAACAGAACACTCTAGGATTGAGTTAGACCAACAACTCATGTTTCTGAGAAGGACTTGCATTCTTAGGAAGGTTCAAAACTGCATTTCTGGCTGCCAAATGTGACAAATAAGAGATCATGAGAGAACATAGCCAATCGACCCCAAGTGCAAGATTAACAGAGCACCGGACATATTAAGAAAGAGATTCACACATACAAAAAGGAAAAGAGCAATAAGAAAGCAAAACCAACATGTCAGCAATTGGTCTTTAACATTTTATTCGCTAATAAAATCCATAAGCTTAACTAGATTGATTGGTGGACATAGCACTGGCAGTACATTGGTCAATGCAGCTAACTCATCAACCAACAAGATGCCAACACAGACCCTCTAAGCCATGAGAAGAACAGGTCACAGTGCAGGACATTTTGTCAGAAATATGTAAAAGAACTAGGAGCGAGTAAAGATGACAATCAAAGAAAATTCTAGTTTCCAACACTGTCAAAGCATTTAAACCAGCATAAATGGAAATAAGAGACCAAAGATGAGCCATCACCCATATAAATATATCCTGGGAAGCAATGAATCCCTAATCCAGTACACCATTGCAGTTCCAAACCGTTAGCACATTAATGCAAGTTTTCTCTTTGACTGAAGCTGAGAGAATGAAATCCGGATAATGCACCCGCCAAGTGAGTTGGAATGATTACACAAAAGGGCTGACTCTTTGCAGCTTTGCAGTTAAAGCAGTTGAGATTTGAGTTTGCATCACGTGTGTCAGCTCCTTGAGTTATGGTTGCATACTAGCATGTTTTGGGAAGTTGACCTTACTTCCCAAATAGCATGGCCTCCCAAATCATAAATTTCAGTATACATGAGTACCAAACAGAAAGGCATTGACTAAAAATATGCAATACTCATTCTCCATTATATAGAACAGAGACTGATTGGATGCAACATGCCATAAAATCTAAAAGCTGTTAAAAGTTGCTATTAACCAGAATACAATATATTCTACCATAATGCCCATTTATTTCTATTTTTTAATTATATTTGGAACATAATTCTTGATAGTTGAACAACAAATGAACAGACAAAAAAATCCAATTAAGATTTACACTTTCTCGTACTGAATCGGAACAGACTTTGCATTTGGAAATGCAATTTTTGCATAACCTGATTGGATGATAATCATATCAGCATCATAATCCGAAGCTTTGCTCTGCATCGTTTTTGCCCTGTCTTGAATGCTCACATTTATGACTACTCCAGTCTTGCAGAAATGAGGTGATCCCTCGCTAATACACCGGACATTAAATCTTCTCCCGCACCCAGCTCCGCTATCCCATAATCTGTCACTTACTGCGACAGGGTAGATTGAGTCGGGCAGCTTCGCTGAACCGTTCTTCTCTTCACAGGCAGTTCGTGAGAAACGAGTCGGAGTATAATACGATGCGGTTCCCGTTGGTGGATCCACGCCGGCATCGGATAAAACCAGGGGTAGGACTCCGAAAAGAGTGATGAAAAAGGAGATGATCATCCACTCGTTTAGCTTTCTCATGGTTGCCTATCTCTTCGCTTGGAGAGTTGCATGCCATTTTATAAGCAGTAAACATGCAATGTGAAATAGTGCAGCCAACTACCATTTTCCCAGCCAACTCCCATGTTCCCAGTTTGCCCTCCAATGTTGCCTTTTTAGTCATTAGTGATGGCTTTTTAGTCATTTTGCTTCCAAAAATCTGTTGACGCGGCAGATCGGGTTGAAAGCACTGTTTTTGGGTCTGGCCCGACCCGGGCTTAAAACGGGCCGGTTGCATACTTCAGCCCGTTTTGTCGAATGGCCCGTTTTAACCCGTTAAAACTCGCCCCACCCGCTAGGCCCGCTGGATCTGTGCAGCCCGCTCCAATTGGCCGGGCTGAAAGGGCAACCACCAACCATTGACGAGCTCCGGATCTCAAGTCTCAGATGCTCAGCCGACTCCGTCGACGGCTCCACAGCTCGCCGTCCAGCCCTTCACTGCTCATCTTCGGCTTCTTCCTCCACTTGACAGAAGCAGCAAAGCAAAACACCTCTGTCGGTGGCTCCACCGCTCACCGTCTAGCCCATCACCACTCACCTTCGGCTCCTTGCTCCACTGGACAGAAGCAGCAAAGCAAAACACCTCCGTCGGCAGCTCTACAGCTCACCATCCAACCCATCATCGCTCACCTTCAGCTTCATCCTCCACTGGACAGAAGCAGCAACACAATGCAAAATAGAATCAACAGATCTGCCTCACTCCTCCGCCTATCACCTCCTTCTCCTTCCTCCACCAAACAAAAACAGCAAAGAAAAACAAAAATTACAGAACAGATCGTCCCCCAAAAGCACCAACAGAACAACTGCCTCATCTCCTCCGTTGCTTCCCTTCTTCTCCTGCGTCTATCGAACAAAAGCAACAGCAGAAATTAGACTTGGGCCTCATCTCCTCTACAAATAGCTCAGCTTTTCAATTTTACCTGTATATTTTTAGTTGACCGGTTGGATCGGTCAAGTGAACCGATTCAACCGGTTGAACCGGATCCGATGGTGAAAACGGGTTAACCACCGGGCCGGGCCCAAAAACAATGGTTGAAACCTCAGGGACTGTTGCTTTTCTTTTGGTGCTCGTTGCTTGGTTCATTTCTGCGCTTGGAGTGGATCCTAATGTCGAGAAAGTCTGGGGTATCACCGGGATACCACGTCAACGGTATCCCGGTCCAATTAAAAACCCCCCACATCACCCTTTTCTTTTACACCTCATCAACCAGATATCGGAGGGAAAACAAATGGCAAAACTAAATTAACTCACGGCGAATTTAACTCACAGGCAAATCTTTTCAAAATAAAGTTCTCAGCACTCTTTTTTCTTCGGCATCTCCCCAACTCTTCCTTTAGCATCTTTTTCCTTTTATCATTTTGTTTTCTTTCTAATTTTATTTTTGAACACAGTTACCATATTCTTCTCTTCACAGCATCTGTAGAGACTCAACAGTCATAGCTATTGCAATTTGAGATTGCAATTGCTAAGTTTCTTGATGAAACTAACTATTTTCTCTTACTTAGGTATAGCTATTTTTAATTAATAATTTGCAATTGCTAGGTTTTGCTTGTGCAATTTGTGGATGTATGCTTTTTGGTTAATTTGGTTGATTTGGCTGAAGGAAGAATAGTTAGAACTATTTATAAGAAGTTAAACATTTTTCATGCCCACCAATTGTTTGATGTATTTCCTGAGTTAAGATTACCTCCAAGGGGATAATGTTTAAGCAAGCTTGAGGAAGATTTTGTTCTTTTTTCACAAAATTCCTGTGTTTTTGATGTATTTCCTGACTTATAGCATCAACAGGACATTTTTTGTTGGCTAGGATAACTCTATTTATTGATCCTTTATTGAGTCTAAATATCATCTTGATTGGAGATAGGTTTAGTGTGCCTTTTCTATGTCATTAGTGATAATATGTAACTTGCATCCATAGCATTAGAAGATGAAATTCTTGCCTTTTCTTGTCAATTTTTTTAGTTTGTTTGCTATGCAGGTCATTGATTTTTGGTTAGCTAAGCAACCTATAAACCCTCAAACCAATGACATATAGATTGAGAATGGGACTAAGATGTAAAGTTCAAAGAAGTTGGCTTTTCATTATCTAGGAAATCCTATTCAGGGAGTTAGCCATGGCACATTGACAATTGAAAGAAAAACAAAACGGGAACATCAAGATTCAAGAATTGCTTTGTTTTTTCTTTTTTCTTTTTTTTTTTGTCAAAAAAAATTGTCTTGTATCATTTTCACAAGAAAATTTTCTTGTATTTTTTTAAAGAGAATTGCAATGTATTTTGGCATATTATTTTATTATTAATAAAAGCTCATCTTTTTAATAAAAGCTCATTTATTTAATCAAAAAGTGTTATTTTGATATAAATTTAGCTCTTGAAATAAGTTATTATCTAAATATCAGTAAATAGTGCATGCCATTGAAAAAGCCAAATGAAGAACTTCCAATCTCAAAAGTCATAAAAGGTATTTGTGGATAAAATCATTTGCAATTCTAAAAAATTAAAAAATTTATAATGCCTATTATAACCAATTATAGAAAGAGAACATAAATCCAATTCACAATAAAATTGCCTAAAGCATAAGGGAATGGAAAGCAAACCTCCTTTGGAAAAGAATCAAGAAGATGAAGGTCCATTTTTGGATTCATAAAAGAAGAGTAAATTAGATGGAACAGGGAAAATCTTCAATACAAATATTTTTGTATTTTTGCCTATAATTGATTGTAATACCAAAAGTCTCAAAAATAATGAAATGAAAAAAAGAAAGAAAATGAGAGAAGCGGGAAAAGCGGGAAACAAATTTTATTTTGGAAAAATTGCAGTGAGTTAAATGCTCAAAAAAAAGTCTGCAGAGAATTTCATTTTGGAAAGATTTTCCGTTAGTTAAATTTACCGTGAGTTAAATTTGGGTTTGCCGTTTGTTCCCCCTCGATTTGCTGATTGATGAGGTGTTAAAAAAAGGGTGATGTGGGGGTTTTTAATTGGACCGGGATACCACGTCAGTGGTATCCCGGTGATACCCCAGACTTTCTCCCTAATGTCTGCTAGGTACATATTTTTTGCTTTTTATTTCGAATTCTCTCTCTCGTGGAGGTTTTGGGTTTCAAGAATTAAGTTTATTTTGACAGGAAAACGTTGGGTTTTGGGATTTGAAAGGTGGGTTTTTTAGATCGACTGACTTCGACTGCGTTGGGTCTTCAGGAAGTTTCTCTAATTCACAGATTGTTCTCCTATAATTTATATTGTGTGGACTTGGCTTGTGGATTTGATAGTGCTAGCAAGAACAGGTTATGAAATTCATTTGGTTATAATTCGCTGTTTCTTTTACCTGCGTTTCTAATTATGCTGTCTGCAGTGGGATGGTTCCTGATGGAAATTTTCGGTTGGTGATTTAATTTTTAGTTGATATTGAGTGTTTGCTTTAAATCTTTTCTTCTGGTCTTTCAGCTTTCATCACGTAAGAAGTTGAGGACATGCCTTTCCAAAAAAGAAAAAAAACAAAAGGGTTTTTTTTTCTTCCTTCCCTTCCCTATCAAACTTCAGACTTCCTTTCTCTTCTACCTTCTGTTTGCTTTTGGGTTTAGATGGGTCGGTGATGGTTGCCAGTGTCTGGTGAGACCTCTGGGATTCCTCTATCCAATATCTTTTTCTTATCGGTGCGGTGGTATCTTGAAGTTTTCTATCTCAATTCCTTACACTTTGTCTTGCTTTTTGATTTAGATGGCGATTGCTGGCGCCGGAGAGGGGGAGCGCAAGTGGCATGAATTAAACATATTGAGGAGGTGGGTTTTATTTGATCTTGTGGTGTGTATTCTATTTGTTCATGTGGATCTGTTTAATTCTTTTAATTTTTCACCACAAATTATTTTTATAATTCTTTCTTTTCTGTTTTGCAGTTTCCACCTAATTCTGTGGGAGAAGAAACTGAAGGAAGTAAAAGTAAATGGATTTTATCAAAATTGGAAAAGAAACTGAGAAAAGAGGAATTAATAAAAGCAAGGGATTCCACAGCTTCAGGTATACATAGAACCAAGCTATCTCAGATCTAGACTAACTCTGGTTATTCATTAATTTTGATTTGCCATGAATGATTTACATTGTTGAAATGGCAGCATGTTTTCATTTTTATTTGTTTAGATCATTGGTAGCTGATTGTTCTCTCCATATGATTTTTGACTGTTTTGTTCTGAAATTCATATGGTTCTAATTGAGTCTTTTTTGTATTGTTTTTTATTTTAACTTTGAAAGCTTTCTTTTTTTATAGTTAGATCATATGCTGCAGTATTATGGATTCATTTTGATTTGGTTTGTGACTTTATATGTTGCCTGAACTAATTTTAGGCACCTTGGTTGAATCCATACTGATTGGGTCTTGCATTTACTCATCCATGTGTATTTGTGCTCAATGTTACCCAAGACTTAATCTCATTCATGGTTTAGAGTTCAGTTAAGTAAGTATTAATTTTATAAGCCCTGGAGTGGTCTAAAGGGCAGAATTGATTGGCTTGATTGCTTACAAGTTTGCCAACTTTTTTTATACATGTTTGCAATTCATCTCAAATTGATTTTGGGTAGTGTTTCTTTATGGAAATTTTTCATGGCTGATTTTGCCAACTGCATTGAGCTGCAGCCAGAGGTGATTTATACATGCCATTAAGAAATTGCAGAGGCTTATTCTTTCTTTCCACAGTTAGGATAGTTAAAAGCATGTTTGCAAGTTGTAGGGTGTAAACCAAATTCTTTGGATTAATTCAGTTTTGTTTCTTTTCTTGATGTTGCTTAAGTGGTTAAAGTTGCTAAATTGATGGTTGTTTGTCTTTCTTTGTTGTTACTTGGTTTTAGTACAGGTTCTAAAGGGAATCAAACCGATGGTAAGAGGTAAAGGGGAGATGGTGATGTAGGTGGTGGAAGAGGTATTTTGTTTTTATCAGCCTCTATCATCTCCTTTCTCAATGTCCCCCATTTCTTCTTTTTCTTTTTTCTTTTTTTTTCCTCCATGTTTTATCTCTTTTCATTTTCATTTTTTGGGTTTCTTTGCTTTTGTGAGATTTAAGCACCAGAATAGTTAATAGGAGAAAGACAACCCTCTCACAGTTGCTAAGTGATCTCATTGTCTCATGGTGGGTTTATAAACACCATAATAAACTCTTCTTTCGCTAAAGTTTTTATTTTCGTTGTTTGCAAATAGCTATGGGAGCTTGAAGGTGGACTTAACATTCCTGTACATGTATTTTTATTGGTGAAAGCTTTTGACAGTTGCTGCAATACTCTTTCATTCTAGAGCAGAATTCTTGCATTTGTTCTTTATTATGTGTTACCAACTACTTTGTGGAGTATGTTATGGCCGTTATATATATTGAAATATTATATTGTAGATTTATAAGATTTTTATCCCCTTTTAATTCCAATTCTATCCATCAATTTTTAATATTTAGGAAGGATATGAAAATACAAATGTAAAATTCTTCTTCTTCTTTTTGCATTAGTTGTATGCAATGCAAACCGAAAAGGCAATTCGTATATTATTAAGTAGCATTACTACAAATTTTCAACACAATTATCCAATTTAGGCCCATCTACAGATTGATAAAATGTTGCAGCCTGCAACCTCACCATAAGAAATTCTTCCTATGGAAGGTGAACATGTTCTCTATTTGTTAGAACAAATTAACAGAGAACGAACGCATAGAAATTTAAAGGAATTAGGCAAACTAAGAATGGTTCCTATATATAAGGATCTTTAGGTCTTTAGATAGAGTTACTTCTTCTCTTAGATAATGAAAGAGCAGGGTCCTGGGTTAAAATTCTATAGCTAAGTTGTAGGAGACCCAGAGCAGGCGGTGATCTTTTCCCTTTGAGCCTGGGCCGGTACTCTTACCGTCTGTCTTTCTTCACTTGTTCACCATCTCAACAGGGAATGAGGATGGTAAAACAGAGAACAATTGGGCTAGAAGTGTCTGACTGAGGAGAAAGAAGAGAGGCAGGGAAGGCTGGGGTGAGCGGCAGTGAGAAGAAGGTAATTGGCTGTGGTTGAAGAAGGACTCTCCTGTCCGGGAGAGGAATTGGAATGGACGGGGAAACGAAAAGGAGGCTGAGTTCTCCATTCGAACCATCAGCAATTCAATTTTGACCCGACTCTGAATTCTGCTCGCCCACTAGCTTTTGTGCCATTCAATATGCTTCTGGAGGCAAAAGTGAAACAATCGAATGAAAATGATTAAAGCGAATCTTTTTGTAACATTTTTTTTCTTATGATGTGTCATTTAAAATTTTTTTTATTTTCTTAAATGAAATGTATTTTTATTTATTTAATAATATATAAAAATTATATAAAAAATTATTTTGATTTAACTGAATAAAATAGTAATATTTTAACTTTAAAAGATGAAAAGAACCAAACTCAAGATACTAAACTGGAACAAGCCTGAGGGTAAAAGAGGCAAATCACTTCAGTTAAAGGACTTAAACTTTACGTACCAATTTCACCCCTGGTTAGAAATAAAGAGAAGAGTAAGGCTCAATGATTAAAAAGGAAACTAAACAAAAATTTTTTTGTAAAAAACCAAAAAGCCAAAGTATTTGGAAGAAAAGGAAAAAGAAATAATGGTGAGCAAAATAGGAAAAAAAAAAAACTGTGAAAGGATAGAGTTGCTTTGAGAAGTGAGAAAAAGGAAGAAAAAGAGAAACTTGAGAGAGAAAGGAA